GATCCACCAGCTCTCATGAAGAAGGATGGTGCCCACACAAATTGTTTGAGAGAGTTCAAAAAGTTGAATCCAAGTCTGTTTTTCTCCTGTTGGAAACCAAAACCAAACTCACTGCTATCAAGTGGATTCTGACTCATAGGAACCCTATAGGACAGAGTTGAACTGCTCCATAAGGTTTCCAAGGCTGCAAATCTTTATGGAAGCAGAATGCCTCATCTTTCTTCCCCAGAGCAACTGGTGAGTTCAAATTGCCAAACATTTGGTTAGAAGACGAATAAATGCCTTTAACCAGTGCATCACCAAGAGCTCTTTCCTCTGTTGGAAGCAAGGTATAAAAGCACTTTTCCTCTGTCTATATTTCTCCATCTGTGTGTGTGTGTGTGTGTGTGTGTGTTGCCTGCTGGGTTCCCTGATCACGGAAGCCTGGCCCAGGGCACAGCCCAGCCTCTCCTTCCAGCCAAGGCAGCTTCACAGTAAAGCCCCTCTCACCCCTGCTTCTTGATGGAGGCTCTGAACAGTAATCATATCCCCCCTTTCTAAGTCTGGGCTTGAGGTCCTGGAGGAACAGTCATGAAAGTCCAACATAGGTAAAAGGAGCCCCATCCAGGGACAGGCACTCCCACAAAATGACACACAGGTGGTCAAAGGGAGAAACCACAATGTAGATAAAAGGCTGGATGTGAGACATAATATGGGAGTGGAGGCCCTGCCAGTAGGGGAGAGTTTGTCAGTGTTGGAGACTCCTGAAGCCTCTGGGTGAGCTCAACATGGTGGCAGGAGCAGACAGGGACAGAGAGATGTTAAGTTGGCGATAGATGCACTGGGGGACAATTGGCTGTTGCTGGGTGAGAAACCAGTCACCTACAGGAAGAAGCTCAAGAGCAATCTTCTCTGGGCATACCAGGCTGAAGAGATCTGGGACACACCACAGCATCATGTCCTGGGGAAGTCAGGCTCTCTTGCTGGTAAAGCAATTTGAAAGTCTGTATTCCAAGGGGCTAGGTACAGAGAGAAGATCTGCTCATGAGGGTTCCAATAAAGTAACAGTCTTTTCTGGGTTTTGGCTGCATGTGTGTGTGTGTGTGTGTGTGTATGTATGTTTGGTTCATTCGATTATTTTCTCATGATAAAGCAGGCTTGACTGTGTTTTTCTGGACTTATTCACCTTCATCTCAGCTCATCTTTATTCATTCATTTCCAGGTAATTAGAGTTTTAGAGGTAACATATAGCTATCGATATACAGACTGACAGCAGAATCTTCACCAAGGGTGATGCACATTGTAGCTACAAACTGACCTACCTACCCTCACTTGGTGGCAGCATCCCCAGATGAATGGTGCTGGGGTCTGCTCAGTGCCATATTTCATTAGTCTTGCCATGAACTGTTAGTCTGGCTATGATAGCATTAAGAGAGCAAAGAATCGCCTCCACGTAGAGATTATGTTGGTAAAGTAGAAGGCCAGCGAAATAGAGGAAGACCCCCAACAAGATGGACTGGCACAAAGGCTGCAACATTGGGCTCAAACATGGCAGTGACGGTGAAGATGGTGCAGGACTGGGCAGTGTTTTATCCTGTCGTACATGGGATTGCCATGAGTTGGGACCTGGCAACAACCACCACAGAGATGAAGTCTACGAAGCAGGAATTTCACACGGATTCTGCCCACAGCCCCATTTATCTCATGATGTGAGGCTTGGTTTCTGAGACCAGAGCTAAGAAAGGACAGTACCCATGTCATAGTTCATGATGGGCCCAGAAAGCAAGTATTCTCTTGAAGTATCAAGATTAGAATAAACTTCCCACACATGGTCTGTGTGGTTTAGCTTCAGATCAAGGAGTGGAGGCATAAGCAGGTGCCATATTCCATGGGTCCCAGGTCTTGTGTTAGGATGTCTCTGGTCTCAGGCCTCCAAGGAAAGCGGGGAGATGGACCGGTTAGGTGCAGAGGGGACTTATCCATAGTAATGGTACAATCCATCCACATCTCCACCACCCACATCCCACCCACATGGCTCAGGTCAGTGCAGCCTCTGACAGGCACCATTATTTCTTGCTCCTTCTCTCTCCACCTCTGTGCTGGGTCACAGATGCAAGCAGAATTGGCCAGAACAACTCATGCTTCATACTTAAGCACATTTCCTTCTATAGGGAAAAAGCTTAGGGTCTGCCTGGGTCACCTCTCAGGGTCAGGATTATGTCCAGGTACACAATCCTCCATCCCCAGTAGCTATTCTAGCCCTGCCTCAGTTGCCTTGCTACAGAAGGAGCTTGGTTTCCTTTTTGCTTCCCTCTCTTGGGTTGGTTTCCATAGCTGCTGGGGGCAGGCTGGGGTGGACTCTTCTTGGGGGTGACTGTGGCCTGCCATGGGCTTTCCTGGACAAGAGGGCTCCTATTCAGAGCCACGGTGTCCAGGGTAGTTATTCCACCTCTTCATTCACGCACAACACTTCACAGTGTAGACCTTAGCCTCCTGACTGTTCTGGGAATTAGATCATTTCATCTCATGGTTGGGAATGGTGAGACAGCAATTAATGGTTCCATGATGCTGGATATGGCATGGTCCATGACCTGTTAGTTGGGGGAAGCTCCTTGGCTGAGTCTGGAGTGAGCAGAGAGACACTGGAGTCCTCTTAGAAGGCCAGCTCTGCTCTTGGGGGCTTTCAAAGCCTGGATGTCTGACTTTGAGTCTATCTCATTGTGAATGAATTAATTGTTGTGCAACCTAGAGTGGTGAGACAAGTTAATTACATAATTACTGCAAAATGACATGTTATTTCATGGCTGCAATATGGTAACTCTGTTGGAAACAATTGTAATTGCCCAGAAACTGCATTGGAGTGGCTCCGTTATCTCTCGATAACCATGTAATTAACTTGCGTTACAACTTTATCTATAGCAAACTCTGAAGGTAGGAGTTGGGGCCCTTGGAGTGGTCACAGCCATCCTAGTCCTAAGGGCCCATACAGGGTCTGCTGGGGGCTTTGCTACAATCCAGGAAAATGCTTTATGTTCTCAAGTCAAGCGAGAAAATTCCTTATTTGTGGACTCCAGCTCTCGTGTCTCTCCTACACACTCAAATTCATTCACAATCTGACATGCTCACATCAGACATATTCCCAGTTTCAAACTCACATCAGACCTATGTCACACGAAAACACCCACTGCAGCCAAACCAATCTCTCTCCTCTCTCACATATGTGAGTGTAGCTCTTTCACTGAGGATGGAGGCCCCCAAATTGAGAACATTTACCCCAAGGTCCTAGTGATCTTCTCCTAGGACTGAACCACTGGCCACAAAACCACAAATTGGAGAGGTAGCTCCCTTCTGACACCCATAAGACCACAGCCATCCACCTACTTCACTCAAGGGGGCAGACTGGAGGCGGGTGACTGTGAGGCCTGCCTGCTCTCACCCCATCCTACCTCAGCCAAACCAAGCCAAGCCATTTCCCTGTCCAAAGGCAAGCCAAGCTTGAGGCAGTGGACTGTCTCTACCAGCCTTGGGTTCTGGTCTGTGGCCTGCACTTGAGAGTAAAACAATCCCTGGGGAAGAAGGACTGAGGGGCCTGATGGTGGGAGAGGCCTATACATATGGCCATCCCTGTCCAGGCTCTGGGCCCAAGAAGTCTCTCTTCTTAATACCATTCAGTGACACCTTTTTGGTGCCAGGCTCTGTGCTAGGTACTGTGGCTGCACCCAAGACCGAGGCCACATCCCTGGTACCCTGCACAAGCCTGCCTCAGGCAGGTAGATGAAAAACACCTCACTGTCTGACTGTCTGCTGCTGGCCTGGCTGTCTCTGGCCTGTTGACTTGCCTGTCTCTGCTACACACCTGTCTCCTTGTGTATCTGTCTCCCCTGTCTGTGTACCCATGCGACTGTATATCCTTTCACAAGTGGCCCTGTGTCTGCAGGAGGGAATGGGCCTGTTCTGGGGCTCCCTCAGTGTTCTGTCCTCACCACGATGTGTTTGCTTGCTTCCCTGGCTTTCTCCCTCCCTGGTTTGTGCCTTCCATCCCCCACAGCTAGCTTCTTAGGGCAGAGACTAGGTCTGACCCATGTTTCATCCTTGCGTCAGATTTATTCTGAGGGGCACCAGCTGGCAGCACGAGGTTGGGACACACAGTGGATGAAGGCTTTCTGCTGACTGATGGAAAGCCTCCACTATGAAGTGGCTGACTTCAAGGGAACCAGGATTGTCCTCTTCCACCCATAAGAGCAGAAAGCTGGACCTCAAGTCAGTCCCAAGCTGCTGGGCAATGTTAGCAAACACTGTCACTCTGAGAACGAAGAGGGGTTTAAGGATGGTGCTTGCATGATAGGAGGGTTCAGGATTTGGGGTCTTTCTGTGGAGGAGGACCTGTTTGGGGCAGTCCAGGGTCTCAGTAGGGAAATGGTTAGCAGCCCAGGGCAGGGAGGGCTCCATCTTGTCCCTCTTCCTGGGGATCTGCTCAGGGCCAGGGTATTTACTTTACCAGGGAACCAAGGAGGCACTCAGTTCTCACCTTTGGGGTAGGGGTCTCTGAGTTATCCCCCTCCCTCCACTGCTTCCTTCTAGAGCCAGCCTGGAGACCCTTGCCTGGTAACAGCCCATGCTGCAGCCCTGTGGCCCTGCCCCATGCCCCAGCCCTTGAGGGGCAGCGGAGAGGGCTTATCCCTCTTCCAAGCAGAGGGGAGGGGGCCATAAGTCTGTGTCAGTCATGTGAACAACGCAGAGCAACCTCCCCGGAAACATTCATAAGTTTAATCCACGCCAGTAATAAAATCGCATTACATTTCTCATAAAATAAATGTTCCCATTTATATACAGAAGACGGACTGTACAGGCCAGCCTGGCCCCAGGAGGGTCACACACAGACAGGCAGCGGCGGTGGAGTAAGGGCCGTCCCTCCCATCGAGAATGGAGAAGTTCTGATGCGGCAGGAGAGCGGCTGACCGGCCGGCCGGGTGGGCAGGCAGGCAGACGGACAGATGGGCCTGGAGGCCAGGTGCCAGGCGTTACTGAACCTGGGACTCAAAGGTGCCATTGAGCTGCCCCTCCTCATAGTCCATCTGACACAAGATCATGTTGTTCTTCAGGAAGAATTTGTCTCCCACACAAAATCTGGAAAATACAAGCAAGAAAGAGAGAGAGGCCATGGGAGGGGTCCTAGTGGGTAGTTGGGGGTCCAAACAAGACCTAGCCTGTCCCAGGACGTGGGACATGTGGGGGGCATTAGTGCTGAGGCATGTGCTCCTTGAACTTGCCAGGAAAAACAAAGCAAAACAAACAAACAAAAAAAAACCCAAACTCACTGCCCTCGAGTCCGATCCAACTCATAGCGACCCCTCCTTGGGTTTCTGAGGTGGTATCTCTACGGAAGTAGATTGCCAAATCTTTTTTCTGAGGAGTGGCTGGTGGGTTTGAACCACCAGCCTTCTGGTTAGCAGTCAAATGCCTTAGGCACTATGCCACCAGAGCTCAGAGGAAATACCAAAATCCCACCCCAAACCTGGCCAATGACCCTGGATCAGTCTAGCTTCCAGCCAGGCCCTTCAGCCTGGGTGGGAGGACAGATAGACAGTCAAGCCTAGGCCTCAGGCCTGCCATAGCCAGGTCTCTCACGGAGGTGGGAGCAAGGGTGGTGTTGGTGGGAAGTCCCAGAGAAAGGAGCCCTGGTGGTGCAACTGTTAAGCACTCAGCTGCTGATCAAAGGGTTAGTGATTCAAACCCACCCAGCAGCTCCATGGGAGAAAGGCATGGCAATCTGCTCCTGTAAAGATTACAGCCTGAGAAATGCTAATGCTGCTCTGTCCCATGGGATCACTATGAGTCGAGTATTGACTCGGTGGCACCTAACAACAACAATCCTAGAGAGGGGGACCGAGAAAGGAGAGAGATGGAGAGAGGCAGAGATGCCACAGGAGGGAGGGATGGGATGGTTGATTTTCCCGTCCTCAGCCCCTCTCCCCAACTTAGAGAATGGCTCAGGAAAGGACATTCTTCCTCTAAATAGGGTCTGTGGGTTTCCTGGGATGTCATTCCAGGAAGAGGTGGCCCTGCTTCCCCATCTCATTCTCTGCCTGAAGAAGACCTTGCTTTGTCCCCCAGTCTTCCTCAAGTTTTGGGGAATTCCAGTTCTCCCCAAAGATGTCCCCAGGGTGGCTGAGGCCTTTAGCGAAACCTGAGGGTCACCGTTCCAATTTGAGCAGATACCAGTCCAACCACCAGGTGGTGCTGTAACTTCACAAGCCCACCTAGAAGTGGGTCTGGCCAGAGCCCCCATCAGACCAGTGTTCCCTGCAGGTCCCTGAGGACCTGGCCTTCTAGGAACGTTTGTATGAGCACCTACCTGACCTGGGGGCTCCTGACCAGAAGGCCTGCCTTCTAATGCTAGGCCCCAGCTGGGGCTGAAGAGCTCTGTCTGACTAGGTCTCTGGGGCCTCTCACAGGGCTAGGGGACTGAGTAGGGGCCAAAAGGCCAGAAAGGAGGCAGCACTGTAACCAGAATCACAGCAGTGGGGTCAGGAGTATAGTGGTAATTCCTTGCAGGGGTTTTGGTCTCCTTTTCACATAGAATGTACCCACATGTGCAGACACACATGCAGACAGTACACACGCTAGGATGCAGGGCATGCCGACATACCCCCCCACACATGCACATTTAAAACAGATGCACACATACACAGTTACCTCACCATGCACCAGAGGCACACCCAGTGCATGCACACATACCCCCTTGCACTTGGACATTTAAAATCACACAAACATGCAAGTGCATACTCTCACTGTGCACTTAGTAAACTCAGGCATTTAAAAAAAAATTCATTGCAGTTGAGCTGATTCCAACTCACAGCAACCCCATGTGTTACAGAGTAGAACTTCTCCATAGGGTTCTCTTGGCTGTAATCTTTACAGGAGCAGATCACCAGGCCCTTCTGTGGTGCTACTGAATGAGTTTGAACTGTCAACCTTTAGGTTAGTAGTCAGAGGCAAACTGGGCCACTTGATGGTGCCTTGTGCATATTCCCATTTAATGTGTCACACAAATGTTCACACAGAGTATATGAGCACACACATTTGATTACAGGGCTTAGGTACTCATAAGACAAATATGCACATGACAACTTTCAACATACACATATAGCCATGCACACACAGAACCCACATTTGCACGCATGCTGCCACAGAGCTCCTGGGCCATCCCAACAGGTCTCTGGTGAGAGGGTTCCAGCACTCACCTCTGGTTGCAGAGTTGGCAGGCAAAGCAGTCGAGGTGATACACGTTGTCCCGGGCCCGCATCACCATCTCAAAGGCTGGGATCAGCTTGCTGCAGGCAGCACAGTTCCCAGTAGTGCCGAAAAGCCTGCCCAGAAAGAGAGAAGACAGCTCCAGTTGAGGGAGTTGCTTCAGCCAGGGCCCACCCTGTTCACACCTGTGAACTTAGCAACTGGGCAGGAACTCAGATGGCAGGACCGAGATTTTGCCAAGAGATTAGGTTATAGAGAAATTGGCACATCTGCCTAGGAGGGGAGTGAAAGGAGTCAGGGGTTGGCTGATGTTGCCCATACCTGGGATGACAAAGGACCCTTACTCAAGGTCACAGAGCCTGGCTCCAGACAGTGTGCTCCTAACCACTATTGGACACTGCCCCCTCCCCCTTTAGGAGCTCTGGTGGTGTAGTGCCTAAGGCATTTGACTGCTAACCAGAAGGATGGCGGTTCAAACCCACCAGCCACTCCTAAGAAGGAAGATGGGGCAATCTACTTCCATAGTGATACTGCCTCGGAAACTCAAGGAGGGGTCACTGTGAGTTGGAATTTACTCAATGGCAGTGACTTTGGTTTTTGATTTTTCCCCCCTTTACTCACTCACTGCCATCGATTCGGGTCCAACTCATAGCGACCACTTCTTGGGTCTCTGAGGCAGTATCTCTAAGGAAGGAGCTCTGGTAGCATAGTGCCTAAGCACTTGACTGCTAACCAGAGGCTGGTGGTTCAAACCCACCAGCCACTCCTCAGAGGGAAGGTTGGGCAATCTACTTCCATGGTGATACAGCCTGGGAAACCCAAGAAGGGGTCGCTATGAGTCGGGGCTGATTCGATGGCAAATAACAACAAACAACATCTCTAAGGAAGTAGATTACCCAGTCTTCTTTCTGAGGAGTGGTTGGTGGGTTTGAACCACCAGCCTTCTGGTCAGCAGTCAAATGCCTTAGGCACTATGCTGCCAGAGCCCTCCCCCCCTTTACTAGTACACTGTATCAATATATTCTTTTTCTGCTCCCAACTCATTGTGTGACTTATCTAGGTCCCTTTTTCTCCCTGAACCTCAGCTTATCCTTCTGTGAATTGGGGGTGCTGGGCTAGATGATCTCTTCAACCCTCCTTCTAAAACAGAACTGATGCCAAAAGGAAGCCCCAAGGACATCTGGCACAAATGCCTCTTTGAAGCAGGCACCCCTCCTCTTAGCTGATGGTTGCTTCTAGGGACAAAGAGCTTACTCCTTCCCCATGTGGGCCCATCCTTGGCTGGGTGTTCCAATGGTCTGAGCCAACCAGACTCCTCCTTCCTTCTTTTTTGCACACTGGCAGAATAAGCCCCCAGTGAGGCAAAGGGGCTGAGATGTGGGTGGGAGGCCCCTCTAATGCCTGATTTGTCCAGCTCAAGCTCAGGTGCTGTAGACAGAGCTTGGCTCCATTATTCATCAGTCTGGGCTGCCCTGTGGCTCAGATTAAGGCAGACAAAGGCTGGGCAGCGGCATCGACCTGCCAGGCTGAGTCTTTCTTGCCACCAGCCCAATGAGCTGTTGCTGCAGAGGGGAAGGCTCCAGACAGTCATCCTCTGGGGCTGAGTAGGTCAGTAAAGCCTCATCTCCACCCCAGCCCACTGGCCTTCCTGGCCTGACAGTCATTCCTTCTGCCTCTGGCCATAGTCCAGGAAAAATACCTTCAGCCCCCAGTAGCAGGGCCCAGAATGCTTGTGGGTTTTCTGGCTTTGCCAACAAGCCTATCCTGTGCCTGTGGCTTGCTCCTCCCTCTCCAAGCCCTGTGGGACCATCAGACACTCTGCCACCTCCCCTCAACCTGATAGGGTCAGCTCCCAGTTGATGCCCTAGCCCACCAGGTGGGGAGGTCCCTTCCAGGTCCTGGAGGAGGGGGCCCCCTAGGAACATTCTTCCTTAACCCCTGTTCCTGTTCTCAGCCTCTCCTCTCTGGCCCCAGCCAAGAGCATGGAGTCACAGATGAAGTTTTATTGCTTCACTTTTTAAAATTCTTGCAAAAAGTAGATGTTAAAGGTGCAGGCAGCTAGATCTCAAGCTCTTCCAGGAAGGAGGGGAGCCTCTGAGGATAACCTTGCCCCACCCCCAACATGCCCAGACCTGAGCAGAGGGAGCCCCACGAAACCCTTGCCCTGACCTGTTAATTAATAGGATGGGCCTTCCTTCCCCACAAGGCCCGGCCACCATCCAGCAGCCTTCAACTGAGCCAAATGCAGACGCTGGGTCTCAGCCAAGGCCCCTGCTTTGCGGCCTCCTTCCAGACTTGATGATGTCATAAATGGCCTAAAGGAGGGTTAATTGGGGGAGGCAGCCCAGGGAATAAGGATCCAGGCTGTGGGGGAGGGGAGGTTGAGCTCTGAGGAATATGAGGCATATTGGTTTCACCACTTCACAGAGGAATAAACTGAGGCTGAGAGAAGGCTATAAGCCAAAAAGCTCAGAACTCATTTAAACCCAGGTCCTTAAGCTCCAGTATCAGTGGTCCTCCTCAGGAATGGTTACCTGTCAGGCATACAGATTGCCTGATCCCAGGACCCAGGACAAGAGGGTGTTGGGCACTGAGAAAAGGTAGGAAGGAGACTTCATCAGGGAAGTCAGAGCCGCCCCTCCCATCCCCACTCCATCCTTCACCCCTCATAGCCCCACTGAAATTCCAGGAACAGGTGAGTCAGAAACACCTGGCAAAGGCAAGAGCAGAGCAAGGCTGGTCCCCTTAGTCAGCTTATCTCAGGTGTCCTGGACCTGTGCTGGGCACTGAAGGCAAAGAGTTACAAGCATGGCCCTTTCTCAGGGGGCTCTTTCATATCTGGGGAGGCAGGACTGTCAGGAATGAGTGGACACAGGCTGTGTCCAGAGTATATATAAGAGTGCTGGGTCTACAACAAAGGATAGAGTCACACTGAGCCTTGAACGATGAGGGTGGGGGATAGCCCACCTCAAGTAGTCACGTCGGCACAGGATGAGGTTAGCCTTGGTGTAGAGGGTGGAGCCCACCTCGCCCAGCCGGCAATCACAGCAGGCACACTTGAGGCAGTCTTCGTGCCAGTACTTGTCGAGCGCTTTCAGCAGGTAGCGGTCCTTGATCTTGCGGTTACAGCCTGCACAGCCCTTCTGCTTCCCTTTGGGCTGGACGGAGAGCATTGGCATGCCTGTGGACAGACAGACAGACAAATGGACACAGGGTGGATGCTGTGGCTCTGGGTCTCAGGGAGCTGGCTGTGGAAACCTCAGGGCACATCCTTCTAGGAATGGGGAACTCACTACTTCTCTTAGCTGCCCCATCCAGGGCTGGGGCTCCCACGAATCCTCATTTTATCTCCAATAACTTCTTCCTCTGGTCCTGTGTTCTGTCTTTTGGACTGAATGACTGTTCCCTTGGCCCTGAGAAGATTACTCCAGGGGGTGAAGGGAGCAACAGGGAGCCCTGAGCGTTCTCTGCTCTCGGTCACATGTGCCATGGCTTCAATGAGCTGTTCCTACCCATCTCAAGCACTGCTCTCTATGTGGTCTTATCCAGAGTTAGCCTGTAGCCCCGCTCATGCAGCTATGATCTCATAGGCTCTTCTAAAAGCCTTAAGGATGGACTCTTAAAATGAGCTTAGTGTCCACTAGGACTCCCAGCTTTTTTTGCCAACTCAAACCTTCTTCACACTGCTCATATATTTGACCATTTTAATCTAAATGGTCTATTCACATCTCTCGGTCTATTCACGTAGAACTATGGAGGTGTCAAAAAGCAAGTGAGATGCCCGCCCCTCTGACAGACCCAAGAGGGAGCAGGTGGCTCTGGAGCCCCTGGCATTTGCAGGGAGGCAGCTGGGCCTGGCCTGGTTGGGGCTTTCAGGCATGCTTCTAGCTGGATGCTAGAATTTCTCAGTTGTCCTGGCCTGAGGGAGAGGTGGTTGTGAGCCTCTGGCCTCACTCATTCCACCAGGATAAAAATCTCTGAACCATAGGCCCCCTCCCAGGCTCATATGAGCTCCCAACATACAAGGAAACACCATGTATGAAGAGCAAAAATCTCAATGTGCTCTTCACTATGGGGTCATAGCCTCCAAGCAGGCAAATGTGATACACACAAGTACACACATGTAAACAGAGGCACAGGCTCCTGGCCCCTCCCATTAGGTAACAGGGAGTGACCACAGAGATGGACAGTTGAGAAGGAGGTGAAGATACATCATCTGGAGTCTGGAAGTCCTTGTGGGCCTCCTGAGTTTTGACTGGTAAAGACTAAGCTTGGAGAGAATCTTAGGGCACCTTAGAAGGCTGTAGCCTGAAAGGTAGGTAGCCTGAGAATCCCCCATGAAGATAGGAGTAGAAGGTAGGGAGGTTCTTTTCTTAACCAAGGGTATTCCTCTGGAGGGAAGACGTCACCCCTTCCCACCTCCTTTGCTTTCCAAGAAGCCCCTGCAATCTGCCCTCCTGCCAGTCCCATCCTCTCCAAAGGCCCCTGCTCTTTCCATCTTGCAAGCCCCTGCCCCAAGCATTTTTCACATTCACCTGTCTCTTGCTCACTGCCCTAGGAGTCTTGAGTTGTTTGGTCACAGTCTTCGCTTTCCTTTCCCTCCTTCCAGGTAACCCTTCCTCAGGTTTCAAAAAGGAACCAGCCACCAAGAGCCCTTAGTCTCAGAATCCACAGATGTCAGATAAGGACCCTCTGAGTTGTTCTAGTTAAATGTGCTCATTCTACAAACAGGGAAACTGAGACCAGACAGATAGAGGGACCGATGTATGCCACTGCTCAAGCTAGCCCCAGGGGTCGTCTCCTCCCTTGTGCTCTTTCTCAGCCTGCTGCCTTCTCAGACTTCTCATGGAGGGGTGTGGTCCTTGGGTGAGGACAGCCCTCCCCAGCCCAGGACCAGCAGGGACAGGTGAGGGATGGATGAGGCATCCACAGGCTACTGTGGGCTGTCAGTGGGGGTGCTCTCCTTCCTGTCTCCTCTAGTCCCTGCAGAGCCTGTCTGTTAGCTGGGAAGTTTGCTGCCTAATTTCCTTAATGCAGCTCTAAAGGTTAATTGGTTGAGAGAGTGATGGGGCTCGAGATGATTGCATCCACAGCCTGCCTAGGTCTCCTCCCTACGGGGTCCACCCCAGGCTCAGCTTCAAGAAGCCTGTGGAAGCCAGCTGGGGTGCAGGTACCCTGAGTGCTGAGAGGGTGTTACAAAGCTCCTTTTGAGGCCTGGCCTACACAAGGACTAAGTATATGGGAAAATGGAGGTAAGGGTTCCCAATATCCGGGGCATGGAGAGGTCTAGGTGCTCAAGGGTGACTATTGCAGGTCTGTGGAAAGAGTACTCAGGAAGGAGGCTGGTTTGGCTCAGACAGTGGCTCATTACCAATCTGTTCTGAAATATTGCAGTATTTAACTGCCAGGATAGCTATGCATGTAAATGCCAACTTAGAAAATCTCAGGCCAGGCCTTTGCACAGCCCCCATGAGGCTGATTTCTCTCTAGCTCACCTGGCCTGACACCATTCCCAGCAGTCTGGGGCCCTTCCCAAGACTCTACACCTGAGCTATTACTGGCAGGTGTGTGAGTACTGCACCATCCATATCCAGGGTACACTTGGCCCGTGACATTATAACCCAAGATGAAGGGGTATAGTAGGGCACCCCAGCACCAGCAGCATCTGTCCTGTTCCATTTTCCTTCTTGGCTTGGTTGCTGGATGGGTTGGTCTTCCAAGCTCATCCCCTTCCCTTTACTAGCCTCCACAGTTTCTTCGTAGCCACTGAACCTGCAGGGCTATGAATTACATACCGCATGCATGTGGCAATTCAACCATTGGCAGTACAGACCCCTGGAGGCCATAAGGAGCAAAGCCTCAAGTTGCCCCAGATCTCATACTTCCTGCCTGTCTAGGTTCAGCCTAGTGCACAGCAGGTGCCTATAAAAGCCTAGGTACCAGGCTCAAGGACACTGAGTCTGAGAAACTCTCAGAAACCACATGGCTTTAGCCAAATAGTGTCTAATGTCCACCAAGACACAGAACACAGGGCCAGCTTGGCTAGGAGGTGCCAGAGCCTCTAACAGTCCTTGAGCTATCTCTTCCTATGGAGGCTGAGGTCCTGGAGAAGGTGACCCAGAACCCAGGGGATGGATCTGGGACTGGATGGCACAACACCTGAACTGCAACTGTCTGTCCATGTGATCAAGGTATCCTGGTCTCTGTTCCCCCATCTGACAAATACAGAAATTGAAACAATCCCCGTTCCTCTAGGAGGATGGGAAGAACTCAAATAGGAAAATGAGTCACCCTTTTCTTCTTCCAGCCAAGATTGACGGAGCACCTACCATGTGTTTGCTCCCACTGTGCTAGTCCAGGAGACCTTGCCACTCCTGGAAAGGTAAAGTGACTTTAAGGGGGGACATCTATACTCTCCTTTTGCCCAAATCTAAAGAAATGCTCCCCAGGGGTTCCAGGCTCTCACTCCCTGCCCTGTCTGCCCAGCCCCCAACCCAGGCCGCCAGTCCACCCCTGCAGACACCTCTTCCCTCACTCCTCCCCTGCCTGGCTCTGGGAGCTGACCGCGGGCCATGCACTTTCCATTAAGGAGATAGCATCCCTTTGCTGAAGTCCATTTGGGATCCATTTTAGTGTTATCTAAAAATCAAATCTACATGGTAATCCTTTTAATGTACTCCTGACTTTAGAAAAAACAGCCTTGTGCTCCTTCAGGAAAGGTTTTAAAGCATTACCCAGTAATTACTACTCACCCATGAAAACACTGATCTTTTACAACGGGTGATGTTTGCGCCTGCACGAACACACATGCAGGCACACGTTCAGACGCACACGCAAAATGTACCCATTCACTATGCCTGTGTGTCTCCCTCAAATCCTAGGGTGTTTGTGGGGGATGACATTCGAGAAGAGGGAAGCCAAACTCCTACACCTACCTCTACTGCTGGTGGGGGCTGATGGTGGCAGGAGGCAGCCAGGCTGTGGAGTAAGCCTCCCAGTCTGACTCATCGGCTGCCAGACACTTACCCTCAGTTCTTTAATCTGAGGAGAAGCCAGACAGTCCGGGTGATAAAGAGGGACTGCCAGAGGTTATCCTGCTCCTCCCATCTTCTCCCTTCAGCTGAGAAACACTTCTCTTCACATGGACCCCCACAAAGCGGTCTAGCAGGCCAGGCCTAGGTTCCCAGCTCCTCCTGCCCACCTGCCCCTCAGGCTGTCCCTCGGTCCAGCGGATGGACTTTTCCAAACTGCCAAGCCTGCAGGCCCCTAGTCTCTCTAGTGCCTTCAGCTTGGACAGTGGCTTGAGTCTGGCATTCCTGCTATCCCCATAGAGCTCCTCCAAGGCCAGTTGTCCACCCCACCCTGCAAGAATACTTATCCCACCTTGCCCCAGGCCACTGCAGGCTAAAGCTCGTGGCTCCTTTACTGGAGTGATTGTGGCCAGCACTGGCAGCTCCAGTTTGGCACTGGAGGCCCCCTCTCACATGCCAGTGTGTCCTGCTGGGCACTGCTAGATCTGCTCCCTGAAGAACCCTCGAGTGATACTCTTTTCTATTCTTTGAATGGATCTTGTATGCTTCAGTTCCAAGACTTCCCTCCACTGCAAATGCTTTTTTCCCTGCCTTTATTCTGAACTTCCCCCACAGAGGTCAAAGTCAACAATGGGGTCCAGGCTAAGAGCCCATACCTCAAAGTTAGAGAATTTAGTTTCGAGTCTGAAACTGCCCGAGTAGCCAAGGGTCCTGCAGCAAATCCCTTCACCTTGCTGACTTGCAGAAGCCATAGGATAGAGCTTGTCACCCAGCGTGCACACAGGGACAGGAACTGGTAATATTATTAACACTCACACCTAGGATGCCTTCCCTGCTCCGACACTTGCATTCTTTTTATTTTGACATAATTTCAAACTTTCAGAAAAGTTGCAAGAACAGTAGACAGGCCATAACATAGATAACCCTTGAAAACATCATGCTAAATGAAAGAGCCAGTCACAAAAGATCATAGAATACATGCTTCCATTCATATGAAATGTCCAGAATAGGCAAATCCATAGAGACAGACAGTAGATTAGTGGTTGCTTAGGGCTTTTGGGGGAGGAGTTTGGAAGGGGTAATAGTTAACAGTTATGGGATTCTTGAGGTTATCAAAATGTTCGAAAATGGATTGTAGTAATGACTGC